AGACGGCGCTATATAAGTACCTGAAATAAATAAATAAATCTCCTGGGATTTTCATGCACGACCATCTCTAGGGTTTACAGAAAAAGAGAAAATATCCATTGAGTGGCAGTTGTGTGGAGGAAAATGCCTTGTTGAGGTCAGAGGTCAGAGGAGAATGGGCAGACTGGTTTGAGATGATAGAAAGGCAAATAGTAACTCATGTCAATATGGACCAAAATCTCTGTGCAATGTTGCCAACATCTTGTGGAATCTATGCCACGAAGAATGAAGGCAGTTCTGAAGGCAAAAGGGGGTCCAACCCGGTACTAGCAAGGTATATCTAATAAAGTGGTCGGTGAGTGTATATTTATGATGAATTCTTTCAGCTTTGTTGTAGTATCAGCTCTTCTGCTGTTTCCTTCCATCATTTCAATCACTAATTTTAGCTTTTTGTTTTAGCTCTGCTTTCATCCAGTGTAGCCATTGTCAACCAGGGTTCTGTGGAACTCTAGGATTCCTCCAGATTTTGCTAGGGGGTTCCTTGAGATGTGGCCAACTGACCTCCCGCCTGATGGCGTCTTCATAGTTTGGGGGTCAATGCCACTTGGCAGAGCCAGTCACATTACACCAATGATTTTTTTGGAAGTGTCTGTAAGGGGGACGTTCTGACCATCATTGTAAGGGACACATTCTTCTCACTGACCACCAATGTAAGGGTCATTCCTTCAGCTGATCTCCAATACGTTCATTTTAACATGGGTTCCCATAAAATCTGAAGATGATATCAAGATATCCTAGGATAAAAATGTTGAGAAAGACTGAATTACTGGGTCATGTGCTGTTGCCAGAATGACTGGACTTTAGTAAAAAAAGTTTTGCTCAACAAAATTGAATTTGGATGACCTATTTTTGTACAAGGGTCCTTTGTGACAGTCCTTCAACAAGAGTCTTACAATTGTTTGCATCTTACAATTTTTATTTAATGTTTTATACTCGTTCAGAATTGTCCCACCTAGTTAGGATAGAGTTTGCCCCCTCGGGGGGGGGGGGGGGGCACAGTTTTAAAGTCTCAGTTGTCCCAAGTGCCCAGCAAAGTGTTGACTTCTCTCTGCCCAGCAGTACATCAAAATGAATGTGGCCTACAGCAATTAGGTGGCATCTGATGGTACAGGCCCATTGACCAATATTGCCATACCAAGTTATGGAGGAAGAGGGGTGACAGGAGACCATAGGTAGGCCAGATAGAAGGCATGGAGGTACTTTGTCTTAAAGCTGAACGCTGGCATATGCAAATCTTATCCACATACAAGAGTCGTATATTTTTACTTGATTCAAAATGAAATGTTGCCTCTGTGCAGGAAATTTCTGCAGAAAAGACCGGTCACTGCTCTGCTCATTAATATAATTAGGAGTTATATGGACCTTGGCTTTTCTTACGTAGTTTGGCTTAACTCATTTTGGCCTTGACCTGTAAAACACTGTCTCTTGATAGCAGACCACTGGTCCAATCAGCAGTAGCCATGGAAGTCCCCACCCCAATTCCATAACCATTTTGCCAACCAGCCGCATACCTGATACATCTTCACGTGGTTGTACCGGGATGATGCCTGCAGCTTCAGGCATCATCCCGGTACTATAAAAGGTAGGAATATGTGAGCGCACTAAGAAAAGGGGGGAAGCAGCTATGCACAAAGGTAACCAACATAAAACCCCATAAAACAGTTCATAAATGGTGCAGCGCTAAATACTAATAAAAATATGACCATAAATCTGATAAAAGGGTACTAGATAAAAGTTCATAAATGAGCATAGAATAAATAATCAACAGTTCAAAAGTGACTTCAGTGCTCTTAAGGTGCCTGTTTTCCTGGTGGGCTGGTGCTTGTGCAATAGTTGTGGAAGAATTGCGCACTCACTAGATGCGCAATGTATATGCGCCTGTAAACACAAATCCAGATGTCCTCAGGATAAGCCAGGAGATGGGATAACTTCCCTCTGAAGGGTAGGATGGTACATCAAATAGATCCTGGGGCTTTAATGGTGATCCACAACAGCCAGAGCTCCCCTTAAGGGCTGAGTGGGTGCTGCTCCCTGGGTAGGCAGGAGAATCCCTCTCTGGGTACTGGGATGGATCTTTGCCTTGTGCAGGGCGTCTGAAATTTAATACAGTCCTACGTTGCTGCTGTGGCTGCATTAGATTACCTTTTTTAGTCTAAGAACATTTTCAGCGAGTTCAGAAAATACCTGTTGATCTGGTGGACTCGGAAGAGGAAGAAGAAGAAATGTTGCTGGAGAAGGACTTAGACACAATTGACTCTTCCTGTAGCTTTTCATCCTTCAAGACCATGGCTGCTATAGGTGTTGGGATTTTACTGGTTTAGTGGTTTTGCTTGCTTCGAGATTGGTGTTGTCTAGTCTTGTATGGTCAGCGGTGGTGTCTGTGGTCGGTGTTCGGATGGGGAAGACTAACGGAAGTACCCAAGCGCAGTCCGGGGTTGGTTCCATTACAAGGGTCCTATGAAAGTCTCAAGATCCAATGAGGCTCTTTCTTGCTGCAGTCCTGTTTCTGATCCCTTCTCATGTTTGTCTGTACATCCCGGGAATGTTTTTTCTAACTGATGGTCAGTTGTCTTGTAATAGCCATTGGAGCTGCTAAATAGCTACTTGATTGTTATTACAAACAGTGCGAGGGGATGTGCCCCCCATCTCGCCGCCATCCATGGCTTTACTGGGATCTCCTGTCCCACCGAGAGTCCCAATCAACCAGCCGGCGCTTCTGCCTGCTGATCATAGAGCCCAGCAAAGACCGGACCGGCTTTTTTTGGCTCTATGATATCGTAACCCGGAAGTGATGACCTGACATCACTTCTGGTTTACTTGGCTAGATACGGCGCCATTTTTAAAAAAAAGTAAAACATTTAATCACAGCGATCTTGATTTCATTAAATGCTTTTAAAGGCAGAGGAGGGATTTGGGATCTTATTGTCCCAGGTCAATCCATAAAGAGTACCTGTCTCATGCCTATTGCTGTCACAAGGGGTGTTTACATTCCTTGTGACAGCAATAAAAGTGATCAAAATTTGTTTTTTAAAGTGTCCGTATAAGAATTAAAAAAAAAAAAAATGAAACTGCCCCTGTCTCCTGTAATTGCACGCAAAGGCGAATGCATGCATTGGTCCCACAAGCGCACAAACAACGACTGTCCCACACATGTGAGGTATGGCCGCAAACAACAGGTCATGGGCAGTAATTCTAGCACCAGACCTCCTCTGAAAATCTAAAGTGGTAACCTGTAAAGGCTCTCACCCGATTCACATATATGCAGCCGTGCAGGCCACCTTTTGCGCGGGCATGAAAGCCCATTCATTTCAATGGATTCCTGTGCCCCGTGACACGCAGGGAAGAAGTCCCTGCACTTCTTCTGAAAACGCAGTGCGCATGGGAACCTCGGTTACCAGGACGGTTGCATTTTCCAGTGTGGGCGGCGTGCCATTAGAATTAATGGCACCCACCCGCGGGTCCGCTTTCCTCTGTGCGGGTGTTGCGACTGCACGGATTTTCATGTGGATCTGCAGCGGCACCACCCGCACATATGTGAACCTAGCCTTAAAGTGTAGCCTATAGATAGTAACATTGACATCATTTGTTGCCGTTGAACGAGCGCGTGCAATTTTAAAGCATGACATGTTTGGTATCTCCTTGCTCGGTGTAACATCATCTTTTACATTTTGCCAAAAAAACGGAATTATGTATTATGTTTTTTTTCATTAAAACTCAGAAAAGTGTATTTTTTCCCCCAAAAAAATGCTGCGTAGCATAAATGTGACATAGAAAATTGCAGAACCTACAATTTGTTCTTTAGGGCCTGCTTTAAAAAATATATAATGTTTGGGTGTTATAAGAAATTTTCTAGCAAAAAATACTGATTGTTACGTATAAACAAAAAGTGTCAGAAAAATCCTAGTCTCCTAGCGGTTGAGAAGCCAGTGACGGATTTTTGTTTTGATGATATAATCAGGATGCCCTAATCCTATTATTATTATTATACAGTATTTATAAAGCACCAATAGTTCGCTCAGCGCTGTACATTACAAAGGGGGACAGAACATGTGACAGAACAATACCAATACAATGCAAAACATGAGGGGATTGAGGGCCCTGCTCTTTCGAGCTTACAATCTAGGAGATCCTATAGAATGTATCATGGTTATCTTGCTGGGAGAAACCCAGGGGTGTATTTACCACAAGGCAAACAAGGCATTTGCCTAGGGAGGCATTTTTCAGGAGGGCAGCACTGCCCCTCGGAAGAAGGGATGGAAGAAGGGACACATGCAGCATGGGGACCTGGTGGGCTCCGAGAGAGGCTATGGGTTTCATGACGATGTATGCACAGCCCAACTCTCGTTCATGGGGAGGTCCGGAGCTGTTAAAGTGAGTGTCTCTCTCTCGCCATGTGGGATGGTGGCTGGTGTATGTGGGGGCAGTGGTAGTGGAAGGCTCTCTCGAGAAGGAGGCAGGGGTGTTGTTGGTCAGGCTCTCTCTGCTGGGGGCGCGCCAATTTTTTTGTTGCCTAGGGCAGCACAAAACCTAAATACACCACTGGAGAAACCTACATATAGTATTGACTCTTTTAGTCCAGTCAGCAATGGTCGGTGGTTGGGGTTTCTTCCAGAAGCCTAGGATTGCTTATTTGGCTGCATTAGTAAGATGTGATGAACAGTCTTCTTTTAGGAATTTATGGATTGAGGTTTACTATGAAGTATGTCTTCTTCTTTTAAAAATGCCGGTTGCCTCGGAACACAGACAGCTCAAAAATAAATAAATAAACTGACTGATGCTTTAACCATTTCCTATTCAAAGCTGTAAATTTTTGAAGCTGCTGACAAGTTTTTCAGATGAAAATAAATTGATTCTGTGTATTTTTGACTTGCAGGTGTCCTTACATGTGATATGAACAAATTCTTCTTCAGACATTTGCTTGGTGACCGCATCCAATGTCCTGAGTGGTGACCACCGTCAAAATGGATAGCCCACCCAAACTAGCTGGAGAAAAACTCTGATTGTCCACCACATCCCACTGGTGCACTGCCAGGTGCCTGATCGCCAGTGCTGTCCGACTTCCATAAGGGCCCATTCTTACAGCAAGAATGACCTGGGGATTACCCGAACCACCTCCCTTCCAGAAAGGGACCTTTCTCAGGCTGACTCTCTGGTGTACAGTAGTTTAATCCAAGTTTCTGATTCAACAGTCAAAGAAAAGGGAAGCAAGAAGGACGAGGAATGGCAGGGGACCATAACTCGTAAGCGCCACAACCCGTTCCTCTTGAACGATGATGATGAACAAAGCACATCAAGCAGCAACGATGTGGAAAAGTCATTCCATCTCCACAACAACTTAGGTGGACTGAAATCAGGATTTCATTTCCAAGATTTGTCCTTGCCACCTTTTCACCTTCATGATAACCCACCTGTGGTGAAGCCTTGGATTTTGTCAGGAAGGTCAGAACTTGTGGATGGACAAGAAGAGAAGACATCACCTGATTACTTACAAAAAGGGAATAATGGCAACCAAGGTCTATCAGGGATAATCATGGAAGACCAGGCTTGGCCTAATCATGGTGAGCCTACCTTTACTCTAGATTGGAATCAAAGCTCTGATTTGGGGAGCCAAGATTTTCAGAGAGAGTGCACGTGTACCGGTTCAGAGCCTCTTAGACACTGCCGATGCTACAGCGCCTCAAGCCAATCTGAAATGGACCAGCAGGTGAGCTATGTCAGTGACTCCTCCTGCAACAGTTCAGATGGCATCCTGGTTAACTTCAGCACTTTATATAACAAGATGAATGGGCAACCTAGGTCCAACATGAATTCTGGTAGTCTCTCTTGTGACTCCTCATTTTGTAGCCATCCGGACACAGGTGCTTTTTATCTTGACCTGCAGAGCTCACCCACAGAATCCAAAATGTCCTGTGACTCGCATGTTCAAGAAGCTTCTGGAAAGCCATGCGGGTGTACCAACCATTCGTCTTCACCCATTTTAGATGCCAACTGTAACTCTTACCATCTGAATTGTGATTCAGCTCAGTGTAATGGAGAGAGCTCAGATCTAACCTCCTGTTTTCAAAGCCAGGCCAGACTTGTGGTGGCCACACAGAATTATTATAAGTTGGTGACTTGTGACCTATCATCTCAGTCTTCTCCTAGCCCTCCTGGTTCTTCTATTACCAGTTGTTCAGATGATCACACCAAAGGGAGCCCAGTTCAGGCAACCGAATATTTCCTCTTTCAACAGCCAGATAGTAGTTCAGACTCAAATGACTCAAAACCTGTTATAGAAAGATCAAAGTCCGACATCATTGAGGGCCAAGTTTATGTTAATGTGTCCCCACCAAACTTCAATACGGGCAGGCAAAGATCCAGAAGTTATGATCGCAGCTTGGACAAGAGCCCTTCAAACCAACTGGGATCACTAGAACGTATGATGAGTTGTCCTGTAAAGCTAAGTGAGGGTCAGGCTCTGCTCAACCAAGGGTCATCTCCGAAGAGAGTGACATCCTTTTTGGAATTAGCTAAAACCAGGAAGAAAAATGGCACCAGTCCTCCTTTAAGGTCCAGTGGAGACTCTTCCCTGGAGTTCTCACCAATCCCAGAATACAATCGAGATGGTACCAGAGGTTCCGAACGCGGAGAGTTTCGTAGCCACAGCCTTCCACCTATGTCCTTCTTGCACTGTATGAGTCGCACTTGTGAGGGCTGTACCAGTGACAGTCTGGAAACTAAATCCACAAGTTCTAATCCAACAGCTAACACTAATCAAACTAGTGCCAACATTGACAGAGATAATGATCACATCTTGACATGCAGTGGACTGGATTCAGGAGGTGCTGGGATCAACTTCCTTCAAAGAGATATACGAGCAAAAGGAGATGGTGAGTAGTTCAATAGGCATGGTTTTATTTTCAGTTCTTTTGTTTCTATTAATGCAACCTGGGTATTGCAATAAATACATACCTAACCACCACTTAGAAATGCTGCCACTAAATGACGTTACATGACAAGTAAATTTCATTTAGTAAGGTGACCACATTTTTCACATACAGACCAAAATTACAATAAACAGAACTCGAACTGTAGAAGCTGTGCTCAGAAAAGCCAAACAAAGGGCAAAAGACTAGTCATCAGTATCGCCTGTAGACTTCCTGTGGCTTGTCCTTTCCCCATTAATGGCTTTCTATGTCTTACTCTGCTCTACATCTCTGTGGGACATCTTTATAGAGACAAGGCTTTGCTTCCTCATGACAAAACTGACCCCAGATGACTAGACATTGTGGTTTAATACTTAAGAATCAGAGGGGAGGTGTAGAAAATCCAGATCCAGAGAATTAATAAAACAGAAGCAGGGAGATCCTTGCACAGCAGGTCTTCAGGTACAGCTTTCTCTCCAGTAAGGAGAGCCGTAAGCAGCACAGTGACAACACCAAATCTGGTGAGCCTATCAGTCAGAGGTAGCGGTGCCTTTCACACAGCAGATATACAGTATGAGGCTACAGAGCAGGAATGCCCAGGCATAACAGCAATTCAAGACAAAAGGGTCAATCTTTCAGTATACTGCTTAAGCATAATTATTGTATGTTTCCTATAACACAATCTTCACTTTACGAGTTTATGTCCACTTTAACTGCTTGTTTACATCTGGGTGGATGCCTGTGGTATTTCCCATAAAGTTTACAGAAGGAACTGGGAAAAACAATGTATTGCTTGTATGTAGATAGCTTGCATTACAGTACTGCAATTCAGCCTACTGAAGAAAATTCTAGCCTATACTTTTCATTTGGTCATCATTGATGTAAATGAATGTGCACACTTACCTGCTGTGTGTTGCTCCAGCTGGGTGATATTGTTATCTAAGTTGGGGTTGAGTATATTGAGTAGTTGCCTGCTAGTGCTTATCCTGCTACTTATCCCCCCGCTCTGTCATTTTCTGAGGTACTTCCTGGATGGATCTTAGTACTCTTTGATTTCTGCTGTTGAGTTCACCCCAGCTTCCCCTTTACTGCCCGTACATGTGCACCAACCTTCCCTTTATGCTCTCATGCATCTTGCCCAACTATTGCCAGTTGTCATCTGTTGTATGCACATCCAGGCAGTCCAGCTGATGAGCTCATTTTCTAGGGAAACTTGTCCCAAGAGTAAAGTGACAGGTTCTCTTGAAAGAACATGTAACCATATGGACCGCACATAATCTGTACATAAAACAATCAAATATAATATAACTCAGTCCCAAAACAGTGAAATGCATGTGAAGTGCTGCTGTCAGGGCTCCCTGTAAGACCAGAGATGCGTGAACTGACACAGGGAAACGCAGGCTCAAGTATGGTGTAACAATATAATTTATTAAGGGTTATACACAAATATAAAACTCACAATATAACAAAACCAAACATCCAACTGATAACGGCATGTACAAAGATAAGAGCAGTCAGGGCTGGCGAGGTGGAGTGGTCAGGCGGGCCAGGTCAGGAATCATCGGGCAGACAAGACACAAAGGAGTAGGCAGAGCGTAGTCAGACGGGCCGGGTCAGGAACAATCAGGCAGACAAGGTACCAAAGGAGCAGGCTGGAGAGTGGTCAGCAATAGCCGAGGTCAGGAAAGGCAGAGTTCATTCAGGGTCAGGATCAAGCAGAATCAGGAATCAGGCAGGAAGCAGACAGGATGCAGGTACAGGGGCTCATGGGAAACATACACCAAGGCACTGACTGCAGGTCTGGCCATTCCTTAAATACACCTCCTGCATAAAGCCTCAGGTGATGGCTGACTGCTGGAGTGAGCTTCTGGTTGCTGAGAGCACCCGCTGGCCAGCCCTGGTACTGCAGCCCACAAGGCAGGTGAGTCTCAGCACCATTAGCAAGTCCATTCCTGACAGCTGGTGTCCAACTCTTAATTTCATATCTTGATTGTAAACTCTTCCCACAACCCAACAGGTGCTCCACTGTGCTCTAAATAGTGTCCCACATGGACTGCCACTCACCGTCATCCAATGACCACCTATCTCTAGAATGGTCACGCTTTTGGGACTATCCCGGTAAAAGCGTGAATGACCATTCTATAGATAGGTGGTCATTGGATGACGGTGAGTGGCAGTCCATGTGGGACACTATTTAGAGCACAGTGGAGCACCTGTTGGGTTGTGGGAAGAGTTTACAATCAAGATATGAAATTAAGAGTTGGACACCAGCACTTCACACGTATTTCACTGTTTTGGGACTGAGTTATATTATATTTCATTGTTTTATGCACAAATTATGCGCGGTCCATATGGTTACATATTTATTTTTTGTGTGTTCAGGTTCACAATTTAGGACTGCGGCAGTCAGCAATTATTTGATATACAGCACATTTTTTATCCTCAACACACTTATACTGATGTTCCCTGCACTCACCCGCAGCTCAGTTCCTCCATCAGAGGATTTAAACTTTGTATAAAACAAGAAAAAGAGGAAAACACACACCCTTTTGAATGTTTAAACTTTGTATAAACTCTGGATGGTGTTTGAGCTTACACAGGGTTGCAGATGTAACCTTCTCCCTCAAATGCCAGCATTTTGGCCTGGTGGTTGGCCACTCAGGTCTGAGAAGTACATTCTGGGATGGGTTCCCATGCACCCTATAACCAGAAGCACTGGGTATTTTGCTAAGGGTTCTGACAAAGCAACAACATTTCCTACCTCCGCTCCAGCCTTTCTAGTGTAACACTACCCTCTTGAGGGACACTGGATTTGTTTGGGTCCCCCTAAGCTCTGCACGGCCAGGCAACACAGCATTTTCCACACTTTCTATCGGAGTCCATAAAACAGTCCTTGAGCTTGTTTTTTTAGTTTTTTTTTATTAAGGGGTTAACAACTTGGATGGGGTATAGGGGTATATGGGATGCCCAAGGAGGGCAAACTTGAGGAAAGACTTCTTAGCAACAATACTGTATACAAATGTGGATCAAAAATAGCAACTCTGTTAAGGAGCACTTAAGTCCCCTTGATGTACCTCCTCAGACCCCAAATGAATCCTTCCTCTTTACCTGGCTGCACTGTGGGTATCCCTGAGCAAGGGATTCCAAGATATACCAGTTAAGTAGTCCTGGATGAGAACTAGTTGGATCGTGCACCTGACCGGTTGGATCTACACTTTACCAGGCCCTGGAGGTGTAGGAGTTCTCACACTGTCCTGTGCTCTCGGCGTGGTGGGTTGGCAGCTGCTTTCAGGCCTTTCACTGGGCTGGCTCCTTCCCTGCTGCTCAGGATGTCCTCCCTAAGAGACCTTGGGCAGTGGAGTTCCTTCTTTCCAGCATCTTGCCTGTAGGTAGGCTCTCCTCCCTGGGGCCCCCTCCCAGGCTCCATACTCCAGCCTTCCCTCAATCCATCTTCCACCTGACTCCAACAACAACTCCCCTGCTGCACAGGCTCTGCCACATTTAAGGGTTGTCCTTGGTCACCTTCTGCAAAGAAAACAAATAGAGGGTGCACCGGCCTAGTGCATTACCTAAATGACATAAAAGTAACAGATGGTGATATACTCACAAAAAGAGTCCAAAAAACGGCACATCCATGAGCCCACCGGTGGAGGTGTTACATATCAAAATGGTATGCATGGCAAAACATATGTCATCAGGATGTTCCTGTATAAACTATATCTGCATCAACCACATAGAACAATAGTATCATTAATGAATTATGAGTGAAAGAACTGTGACGTTGTAATGCAAATGTATACTGTAAAGTATGACATACTGTATGTATAATATAAATGTGAGGGACAGAACCCTACACCCATGTACAGGAACGGACTGACAACTCATGGGGCCCCCGTGCAATAGGGGATCATGGGGCCCCTGTGTCCTTGCCTACACTCAAAGCATACCCAAAAAACCTATAAAAGGTACCAGGGGCATTTCATGGGGCCCCCTACTGACCCGGGCCCTCGGGCAGTGTCCGAGTGCTCGAATGGTCAGTCCGCCCCTGCCCATGTAAGAACCAAATACTTGGCCATAATTGATGAAGTTGTGCAAGGGACTTGGTCACCTTCTGTCTGGGGGTTGGCCAAGGTCACTCAGATATGCAGATCTGGCCCTCCGCCCCTCCTCCATCCCTCTTCCAGAAAGTTCTTTAGGCTTCTGGAAGGGTAGGAGGGCTCCAGAAGCCCTGACCTTTAGAGCCTCCCATCCCGTACTGAGGTGAACTCAGTACCTCACTCCCAGGCTGACTCATCCCAGGCTGGTACCCAACCTCTAACTAACAAAAAACCTATCTAGCTTACCTAGAGGACGTTACACTAGAACACTGCCCCTCCAGCTGAGGCTGAACCCTCCTCCATCTTATGCACTCCCCAGTGCCATAAGCCTCCTCACGTCATCCCCAAAGTCCCTTTTTATCCAAAGGAAGGAATATCCACTCAGTAACTTCATTGCACTTTACTGGTGTTATTCAGGGCATGGCAAGGCAGTCACATCACAAGGGCATACATTCTGGCTTCACTCGACATACACAGTCAATCACATAACGTGGACAGTCCGCAGAAGTCACAGGTGAAAGTACGTAGAGTACTTCACAGCCATCTCCCTACAGTCTGCCCTCTGCCCAAGGTCATCAGTACTCACAGGACTGTGTTCTTTGTAGACACATATCTGGGTACACCTCTCCCAGGGATCATCCAGGGAAGCAGCCTCACACAGGGATCTCCAGCCTGGCCTTTTGCAATGCTCCCTAGCCCTCACTTCCATAAGGGACAGAATGTCTACAGCAGCTCTTCCTGTATACAGGTCCACTCCATCTGGCCTCCTGCCTTGTCCAGGGCCTACGTGTGCAGGTTACATGCTGACATATATGGGGTGTCCCACACCCCGTGACTGACTGTGTTCCCTCCCCTCTAGCTTTTATG